ATTTAAAAGAGTTTTCGGAGTAGTTTTTCTATTCTATTTGATATAACATTTGCAATGTGATGGTTGTTTGCCAGTTAATTCATTTTAAGATTACTGTGCATCACAACTCGACAAGAAAAATAAATTTATGTTTTTACTACAAACTATCTATCAGTGAAAACTTCCATGGAAAATCTTGTATTTTAGGGTTGTTTGGGTGTTCTAAATAAGTTTACTTTTTGATTTTTTAGACTAAAAAGTTGAGGAAAAAAAGATGATTGCTTATGAGAACTTTTTGATTTTTTACGAAAAAATGTGTATTGAAAAATTATATAAATTAGTGTATAGGAGAAACTTCGGCAGAGTAGGCAGTATGGTGGGCAGAGTAGTGTATAGGAGAAGCTTGCCTCCTTTTCGGGCATTGAATTGAATGGTACTGTTCGGCCCGTGAGGGCCCTCCACGGGTCCCCTTTTTCTAATCAGAACCGTTCAATGTGTAGAACTCATTAAGTACTATATACTTGTAAAAAATCACGTTAATAGGATATCGATAGCTATCTGATCGGATTAGTTTTTTTGGTCAATCATTAACTATAACAGCATCCATTTTTTATACAAAACTAGTTTGATCATATAGTTAGCGATATCCGATCAATGTGATTTTTTATAGGGGCATATATTATTCGACGAGTTCTACATATTGAACGGTTCAGATTATCAAAATAGGACCTGTGATGGGTCCCCACAGGCCGAACAACACCATCTTGTTTACTTCTCTGCCTGTTCTCTTTGTATAAACGGTGAAAATACAACTCACGTAACATGTGAGTTGTACTTTTTTTTGTAAAATTAATTTTTTTATATATTTTTTTGATGAATAATGATAACTTTTTAACTTTTTTGAAATATGTCAAACCAGTCCTTAGTGGCTAAAATTTGTTATAATGCGTCTAATTTGAATATCTATTGTTGTAATTAATCTTAACTAAAGATAATAAAAGTATTAAGAAATGGTACTAAAGATAATAAAAGTATTAAGAAATGGGTATTAAAATTTTCTTTTAAAAAAATATATATTTTGATGGCACACTTATAGAATTTGAAAATATTCTTAACTAATATATACTCGGCTTTTTAAAAAAAAAATCTTGGAAGTAAGGTCTCAATGGCCGCTTTGTGCCCGTCACTCTACTATGGCCCTGTTTGTTAGGGTTTATTTTCAACTTATTTCGATTTTTAGTTTAATTTAAGTTATTTTGATGTGTTTGGTTTAACTTAACAATACAGTTCATAACTTTTTGTAAGTCAAAAATCAACTTATTCTTTGAGTGGAGGAGAAGAAGCTTAATTTATAAGTAAGAAATGGTACTAAAGATAATAAAAGTATTAAGAAATGGTACTAAAGATAATAAAAGTATTAAGAAATGGTACTAAAGATAATAAAAGTATTAAGAAATGGTACTAAAGATAATAAAAGTATTAAGAAATGGTACTAAAGATAATAAAAGTATTAAGAAATGGGTATTAAAATTTTCTTTTAAAAAAATATATATTTTGATGGCACACTTATAGAATTTGAAAATATTCTTAACTAATATATACTCGGGTTTTTAAAAAAAAAATCTTGGAAGTAAGGTCTCAATGGCCGCCTTGTGTCCGTCACTCTACTATGGCCCTGTTTGTTAGGGTTTATTTTCAACTTATTTCGATTTTTAATTTAATTTAAGTTATTTTGATGTGTTTGGTTTAACTTAACAATACAGTTCATAACTTTTTGTAAGTCAAAAATCAACTTATTCTTTGAGTGGAGGAGGAGAAGCTTAATTTATAAATAAAAAATCAGATTATGTTCACAGTTATAAGCTATAAGCTGTTAAGTTATAAGTTATAATCACTTTCCCACAACTTTATCAAACAGAACCTATGTTGCACCGTGCATCATTCAATATGATAGATATACTGTATGTAAGTAGCTTTTTTTTTTTTCTTTTTTTGCAAAAATACATATATATATATTTTTTGTTGTCAGTTGGATTTAATTATTAAAATAATTAGTGAAAAATTTAATAATATATATCATTACTCATGAAACTATCATGACCCCCAAGGAAAAAACAATTCAGATCACCTTTGATTAAATTATTTTCTTTGTGTGTGATAAGGATAATGTAACATAAAATGTAAATATACATGTGACTTTAAAAAAAGAAAAAAAGAAAAAGAAATATAAGCTGTGTATAATTATGAGGAAAAGCAAATATCAAAAGTGGTTTAAATAGGATTGGAATGAGAAGCAAATATGCCCTCTCTTATAATTTAACCCAATAGACTCAAAAAGTTAATTCTTTTGAAGAAAAGAAAGAAGAAAAAAAAGATTGAGAGTTTTAATTGTAGAGTTTTAGAAAACTCTATTTGTGTGTGGGTCTCATAATGATATGATGTTTGTGTCTTTTGTGTTTTTTTTTTTTTTCATTGCCAAGTCATTACAGTTCTGTTTAGAATTTCAAAATTAGAGGGATGTATCATTTATGAAAAAAGAAAATAGAAGGAGAGGAGAGGAGATGAGAGGGTAGCTAAAATGGCGCTGTTTGGGAAGCCTCGGATGAGGCTGTTATAGCCCATTTTAAAAAAATAGCCAAAAAGCGTCACTGTTGAAAACTTTTTCAAAAAACTTTTTAAAAAAAAAAAAAAAAAAAAAAAAAAAAATAGGCACTGCGCTGGACAGTGTAGGCATACACTGTCACAGCCGGAAAGTGACACATCAATGGGAAAATTACCATTTTGCCCCTTTATATCAATTTAAAAAATAAAAAGTTAGGGACAAATTTGTCATTTTAAATTTAAACATCATTTCAACACACTTTCCAATATAAAAACCTAACTAAAAATTCATCTCATCTTTCCAAACACAAAACTAAAATAGCCTACTAAAATAGCCAAAAAGCCAAATAGCCTGCTAAAATAGCCACTTCCCAAACGAGGCCAATATGAAAAAAAAATTCAGTCAGCTTGTTTGGTTTCAAGATTTAGGATTCACCTTTTAAAAAATTGAAATATTTTGTTTTTTGTGTTTTTTGTTTTATTTTCACTGAATTTTTTTAATATTTTAACCAAATTTTTGTTTTTTAATTTTTAGATACACCTAACATATATACATTTAAAAGTATAATATTTATGAAAAAAATCTATAAAAAATTCATTAAATATCAAAAATATTAAAAAAAATACGAGAGTTTAGTACATTTTTGTATTTTTATGTATTTATTGATTTTTTACAAATATTTTACTTTTTAAATAAATCTAAATAAGTTGCATCTAAAAAGTAAAAAAAATGTTTAAATTTAAAAAATATTCATTAAAAACAAAAAATATATAAAAAATAAAAAACTTAATTTTCAGAAATTAAAACCAAACATAGTGATTATTATGTTTTCCTTAAAATATATTACAATCTTCATAAACAAGAGTTCACATGATGAGTAAAATATAAATAAATAGCATAAAGTATTAATAAGTCTTAATAATTAAATTTAATTCTTATCAAGTCCTATTGAAAATAAGTTTTAGTGTAAAATCATTGCTAAAAATAATTTTTTGTGGTTATTTTTTACATATGTAGCCAAACATTGACAATTAATGATTTTTTTTGTCATAATTTTTGTAAATTATTGCTAAAATTTACAATTAATGACCTTTTTGTGATGAATTTTTCAAACTATCGCTGAAAGTTGAAACATAGTAATGTTTTTTCTTGACAATTTTTTTAAACTGTCGTTAAAACTTATAATTAATGACAATTTTTGTAACACATTTTAAATTAACGTTGAAAATCAATAATTACTAACGTTTTTTAATAGTGTTCAATGAAAAATGTCATTGATGCTCACATGACCTATTAGACAATAAGTTTACCCGGTGGTGCTACATGCACCAATTAGTGTTCACATTATGCTATTATTATTGACCTTATTTATTATACAAATTATAAATATCCAAAATCTCTAAAATTATGCCACATCATCTATTAATATACTAATTAGTAGATTAATTGATACATATAATATTATTAGGACCTATACATAAGTTCCCATATAAATAAATAGCAAACCAATAAATAATTACAAATTTATAAACTATAAATGAAAATTGTGTCCCAGAAGATACTTATACATGTGGCTCTATCAATTTGCAAATACTGCTTTATTTATTTAAAATTCTCCCATAAATTTCGAAAGAAATATTTAAAATATAGAAAGATAAAAAAATAATTATAAAAGTACAAGTAATTAATGCAATGAATTATGCAAATAAATATTATGATTTCATGAATTTGTAATTGTTTTTTTACTTCTCATTTTATTTTATTAGCGAAACTAGATGCAGGTAAAAGAAGACTTACACCATCATAATATTTCATTTACATCTTATCACAAAGAAACTTACACCCTTTGACCTGTTTGTTTTAGAGTTAAATAGATGGGAGAAGATTATGACGGAGGTAGGGTTATTTAGTGTTGTGTTTATTTGTAGAGTTGGGGAGGAGATTAGGATAGAGGAGATGATATAGATGGAGGTTAGAAGGGGTATTGAGATGGAGGAGGTGGATATTGTATTTGAAAAATAGTGAGGAGATTAAATTTTATTTTTTATTTTTATATATTGAGATTTTTTTTAAATATTAATGTTTAATTTTTTATATTTTTATATTTATTTTATTATTTTATATAAAAATAATTTAACAATTCCTACACTAACAACTATCATCAAAACAAACACAATTTTACTTAATCTCCTCATTATCAATCTCTCAATAACAATCTCCTCTATTCTACCTCTGAAAATAAACGGGCCTTTATATGTTAATAATTTTTTTCCATTATAGTTGCTTATTTTATTTTTGTTGATATTTTCCGTAAATGGGGCGCAAAAGAACAAAAGACTTTTGGTAGAAGAGGACAAATGTCTAGTGTAGGGCGCTTAAAAACAAAAGATCCTGTGGTTGATAAAGCAACGCCGTCGTTTTGATATCGTTCAAATCCTTTCAATTTCAAATTTCCTTTCAAGAGGCGGCCATTCGATTCCATTCCATTCTCTCTATTCTATTCCGCCCCTGTTTGAAGCCATTGGAGTCCGAAGCATTTCATCAGAAGAAGGACCGCACACCTTCGATTACACTGTAAAGTACTCTCTATCTCTCTCTCTAGCTCTCTCTCTTTCTGTGTTTGAATCTGTGGAACACGATGAATCTTGTACTTTGTTCGTTGCGATGTTGTGTTTGACTCAAAAATTGATTTATATATGTATGTATTGATTCATGTATGCATATCTGTATATACATAGTAATATTTGTTTATTTTGATTGTAATATTTTTTTAATTATCGAATTGAGTTGGATCACTGTGCCATTGTATTTATGTTGGGTTTTCTTTTTGAGGAGCAATTTTGATTTGTGAATAAGATTTCTTGCCTCCTATTTGTCCTAAGAGAATGTAAATTAGATAAAACTATTGCTCATTAAATGAAGGGATTCTAATCCCACTACCCACTACCCACTACTAGGGATGTAAACAAGTAAATTTAAGCAGAATGTTGGGGGTTTAAGCTTGACTTGAAAACCTAAATGAATTTCAATATGTGTTTAACTTAACTTATTTATCTTGTTAATATAATATTGCTAATTGTTTAGATATAGATGCTTTCTCTTTTCACTTTATTCTTTCGGTGGTGATTGCCAATCATCCTTTGGTATCCAATGTCATTTCCTCTCTCTATAAAGAGAGAGTTCACTCTTGTAAAGATACAACACATAATAGACAGAAACCATTTTGCTCTCTAGCTTCTCTCATTCATTGCTCTCTAGCTTCTCTCTCAAACTAAACTTACATATCTTTTCAACCAATGGGTTTTACTTGAGCTGAACTTGGCTGGTTTGGTTTTTTTAAAATTTATATAATTTTATGGAGATGTGTTCAGAAAATTTACTTGAGCTTTTAAAATTTATTTTCTGTTTTTTTCTCCCAAAGATAGAAACTAGCTTGACAAAAATAAAGTGTAAAAAATTATTTTTCCTCTGAAAAAGAGAAAACCATTTGAAAATGACTTAGTATTTTAGAATTTTTCATGTTTTTACCAAACTAATCTTTTATTTATTTATTTTTTACAGCAAACAGATTTTGAAAATACAACCAAACAGGAAATGCGTTTCAAAATGTGTTCAATCTTTAACTTGTTTACATATCGAGATGAACTTGAACAATTTTTTAATAAGTTGAACACGAGTGGAGCTCAACCACCAATACACAATACTCCTCCCACAACCGACAAATTATTGACCCATTCATGCTGCAGGATGGAATTGATTTGTACTTAATGTTACAGGATGGCTAGTGCAGAAAAATTAGATTATACGAGGCCTAGTGGACTAGTACCATGTTTATAAAGAAAAATAGTGAGTTATGAGGTTGAGTAATTTATGTTGACCTTTAATGGATTCCACATATCATCTTGCAATTAGTTGTTGACTCATTTATGTTAACTTTACCATTTGTTTTTTCATGTAGAGGTATATTAATCATTCGTCATTCTTGTGTTTGACACCCACTGAGTATTATTGGAATGCTACTTATAGTTTGGGCGAAAAATGTTTTTCAAAAGATATTAATCACATTTTCTAGTATTTGGCATGATAGAAAATGAATAGCAATGAAAATTGTTTTCTATGGTCAACAAAAAATAAGCTTATTTGGGAGGAAAAAATGTTTTACTTTTGAAAGGTGGAAAACTTTTCCGATTTAAAAGTGCTACCACACTACTACTACTGCTGCTGCCACTGCCACCACCACCAATACAACCACTAGCACATTAGTTCAAGTCGCAACCAAAATAAGAAAATATTTTCTAAATTTTTTTTTTGAAAAATGTTTTCTGTTAAAAAAAAAAATGTTTCCATTGGAAAATATTTTCCACCAAAACAAACCGAGTGTAAGTTTTCCTTTCCTGTGTCCAGTATTTGCTGCTGGTGGAAGAATTAATTCCTGGTTTAAGCTGGCAGCTTGCTTTCATGTGTGAACTCTACAATTTCTTTCCCCATAACATCTTCAAGTATTGAGAAATATTGTTTATGCGACTCTTCTAAAATTTGAATTGTAAAACCTAAAAAATGTTATCAATGTTATCTCTGCCATCTACCACTGCGCCACCACCCCTGTGTTTATCTTAACTACACTTGTGTCAATACATGGGGCTTGCTTGCAAACAGTTATACTCACATGAAAATGTAATGTCCTTGTTTTATTTTTCTGCGTGAGAAAAAAAATGAACTTACACACTTAGATTGTGTTTGGATCATGTATTTGTGTAGAAATTTAAAAAAGGGAAAGGAAAAGGCGAGGGAAATGTGAAAAGAAAATTTAACTTATATTTTATTCACATTTTCTTTAAGTTTGCAAGGGAAATGGGAGAAAAAAAATTCACTTATATTTTATTCACGTTTTTTTAAGTTTTCTTTTTCCTTTTCTAAACCTCTACCCAAATAATGATCTAAGCACAACATTAATATATATATCTTTTCATTTAAGCTTAAAACTTATTATTGTTGGCATGTCCTTATCTGAAATGCATTGTTATCTACCTTGGATTATGACGTAATTTTGCTTGCATAAAAGTATGTTTTGATCGACATAACACGAATACTTGTCTATGTATTTAAACTTTTTTACACAAGGTATCAATGATTTTTATGGAGCTATCTTTTATGTGTAGATCTGCAATGTTACATTGATTCGACACTGAGTTGCAAATTGCAATGACGTCATGCTCCATCATGGTTATGTGTCACTTTAATAAATCCACCAAAAAGAAGTGGTATGGTATTTTAACTGCTGTCATGATAATGCTCGTTCCTTGCTTGGTGCAATCTGTTTTTCTGTAAGCATATGATTGTTGCAGCATTAGGCTTTATCATTTATGAATTTGTTTATTCCTTTTCGTTTACCCTACAAATGTTCCTGTTTTGCACTTTGAAGTCTGAACACATTACAATATGAAACTGAAAGCAACTTTTTCGTGTCTAGCAATAGGGTGTCATGTGTATTCAATAACACTGGCCACTAGCTAATCATTTATTGTGGTTATACTAAATAAATTAGGCAAAAGCTGGCTGCTGCCACTTGTAGTTCTTTAGGTTGTGTTTGGATCTAGGATTGAAGTATCTCACTCCCGTCCTGGAAAAGAAATGGGGAGGGAAGGGTGGCAAAAATATAAGCTAGTTTTCTTTTCCTCCATTTTTTTTTCTCTTCACAAATTCTTACACAAATCCATGATTCAAACAAGTGATTTTTCTTGATTTGAATAGCAGGTTTTGAATAGCCATAACTGGAATAGATTTTTTTTTCATATAGAAGGAATATGCTGTAAAAATCATGTTTTATGTATTTTTAACTCATTCAATAATTTTTGGGTAGGCCAGTAAATTTTTTGTTGGTGATAATTATAAATAAAACATTAGAAAACACAAATAATAAAAATTACAATAACTATTGTAAGGGCTGAAGCGCGGGAAATTCGTTCTCTTTAAGGAGATTCAAGCCCTCTATGGTTAGGCAAAACCTCACACCGGTGCCGCAAAAAAAAAAAAAAAAAAAAAAAAAAACAACAAACTTGACTTGTCCCCCCAGGATACAACAGCCTGACTAAGTCATATGGTTCACCAATACTGCACAATTGGTTGAACCCAAAGCTTTACACATACACCATTTTTTATTTGCCTGATAATCTCACAAATAAGAAACTTGAACTACCAATAAGAGAGGTGAAAGACTCAATTTATAGGAGATGAAAGCTTGGTAGACAAGTTTCCTGAAGGATTCTTGGAAGTTGCTTGGAGGATAAGTATAAGAGAGGAAGCTTGGTGAGAAAGTTCCTTGGAGGAGACTTGGAGGCAAAGAAAAAGACTTGACTTAGGCAAAGACTTGGAGAGAAAGAAAAAGAAAACTTGGAGAGAAAAAAAAGAAAATCAAATCTATAACACATTATAATATTAAAATATCTGCTAACATTTTTGTAGAAAAAAAAAGATATTACAACAAAGTTAATGTCATGCCTAAAGCATCCTAAAGCAAAACTCTTAGCAAATGACATGCTTCATGAAGCAAGCTACCCAGTCTAGGATGACTAAGAAAAACTCTCAACCCGAGAGACTAGGTATTTCCATGTGGCTAGGAAATCCCCTTTGCCTATTAAAATTTTAAACACGAAAGTTGTGTTTGGATCTTTGGAAAGGATTTGTAAAGAGACAAGGCAGTATTATTCTAATTCCCTCACAACCATTTGGCAAAGGTATAGGCGTAAAATGTTGCTAGCTAAGGAGGTTTATCTACATAATCTTTGGTTTGCATTTTCTTACTTTGCTTAGATGTGGGAGTTGAAACAATTTGCTTAAAATATGTTTGAAGTGCCCACTTTTGCCCTGAAATTCTTAACAAACTACAACTTCTCTTGAAGTCTCTTCTTTATTTCTTCTCTATAAGAGTATGTATCAACATTTGGAGTTAATTTATGTTCCTCCGGTGAAGGCTTGTGTGGTTCCCTCTCCTCCTCCTTGCTAGTCTCACAAAAAATTTGAAACTAAAAATTCTTTTGGAAGCATGGTGAGAAGTTTATCACTTGGTTAGAAGTAGAGGGTGCCCTACTTTCTTTTCGTTTTCCACTACCATTTTCTCGCCTTTCCCTTTCACTGCTTCTTGTTCTAGATGTGGCAAGGCAATGCTTCACCTTTGATCTCCTTTCGATTCCAATTTTTGTACGAAAGAGGTTTAAGTGTTTAATTAGAATGCAAAGTATAATGGCCAAAGCATTTACAATAGGTACAATTGCGTGCTGCCAAATGACCAACCACTCATATCTCATAAACATCATCATCGGCAAATTCAATTTTGACAATGCTTTGATAGCTTCAACCTCAAAAAACTTTCTTGCATCTAATAGTACACAGTTTCCTTTACTTCCAAAAGTATTATCATTTCGTCTTTGGTTAGGTCAAATCCAAATGTGTATATTGTATAGGTGTAGAATGAAACTTGTATACGTTAACAAGATGAGAAAAGAAACACCAAGAAAAAGAAATGCTATGTTAAAACATGGTTATCCTTTGTTGTAAAACAAACACCATGGTTAAAGAGAAACTTCCATGTAGTTATTGTTGAGTAAATAATTAAAGTTGCTCGTCTCTCTAATAACTTAAGCTTTTAGATAAATTGATAGTCATCAATTCAATATGTTATTAAAGTAGATGATAGATTATATGTTTGAATCTTGCCATCACCCAATAATTATAATATTTAGTATTTGGCCTACTTAAATGGCGTGTTGATAATATAAAAGTTAAGTTGCTCCCCTTCCTAACAACTTAAAATTTTAAATTGATAGTGAACAATTCAATACCTGTATATTAAATAAGTTCCTATATCCTGAATTGGACTCTTTTGCTTCAAGGCAAGTAGGAAATGTTTTCTTGAGGCAGGGTTTTTTAATTGAAGATATTTTTCTTCCCCCTTCATTGGACTGCACAATTGTTAACTTAAATTGTTATGTGTACCTTTTAAAGTTTTTTTAACTAAGCCATTAAAGTGTTTTTCTTATAGTTATATTTGTGTTATAGAGAAATAAATACTTGTGGATTTGAATTAGTGGAAGACATGCTTTCATAAGATGCTTGAATTAGTGCGCAAGCAAGGCATGTTAACTTGTGGTTGCATATTATTCTGTTGGTTAAGTGTCTCATCCAAATAAAGGTTATTAGTGGAGAATTTTGTGCCAAATTGATTGGTTATCTGTTTATGTCTATCCATATTGAGGTCTGGGGAGGGTGGCGGCTTGGCCCAATAGGAAAGACTTACTTTGTGGCGGCACAGGTTCAAATCACGAAACAATTGAACTCCTGTTATTTTGTGATATAAATAGGCAATTTTTTTTTTTTAGTTTTTCGGATATAGAAATATTAAATTGTTAAATTAACAACCATGTATTGATGCCAGTTAGCAGAACAATTGTGTTTGGATTTTAGATTTATATTGAAATTTGCCGCTTTGCCCCCCAAGTCTTTGCTTACTGATTGCTCTTTACTTTTTTTTTTTTGGTTCTTTTTAGTCAAATATGTGCTTAATGATTATATGAAATTAAATCGAACTGTAGTTTATTTAAATTTATTTTAGTTGACCAAGTTATTTTATTTTTTTAATGCAGGATTCCTTGAACCGCCAATTCATTTTATTCTGCCGACGGTGCATTTGTTTAATTTTTCCACCAAAAGGGTATTGCTTCTTAACTATTTGTTGCATTTTCCCACCCGACAACTTCACACTAAAAAAATACAAATGAATGTGTAACTGAATGAATTTGAGCCTAGTTCAGATAATTATATATGGGCTAAATTATCAGTAGTTTTTAATAGTTGAATTTAATTCATATAAAGTCTTATTGAAGTTTTAATAAAATCGTTACAAAAAATAAATTTTTGTGATGATTTTTTTACATATGTTGTTAAAAATTGATAATTGGTGAACTTTTTTTAATCACGATTTTTATGAATTGTCTCTGAAAGTTGAAAATTAATATTTTTTTTTGTGACGATTTGTTTAAACTGTTGCTAAAACTTTTAATTAGTGACATTTTTTGTAACAAAAATTTTAAACTAACAATTAGTGACGTTTTTAATAGTATTTGATGAAAATCCCATTAACTATCATAGGATTTATTAAACAATAAATCTACCTACTAAGATTTACATGTAAGTCCTCTTTATATCTCTTGATTTTCAATGAAAAAACTGAGAGGTTGAGTTTATAAAAAATCATTGCAGGTTTATCGGATAAATTATACTTTACCCTTTTTATATTAAGTCACTAATTCACTTTAGCCCTTAAATATTTTTCTACTTTGCCTCTTTATGTTTTAAGTTTCTCACTTTACTCCTGAAGTTAATTATTGTTTAAAATTAGACAAAAAATGAGATATTGATATTCACATGGTATAAAAATATTTTATTATATATAACTCATCCGTCTGACATAAACTTAAATTTCAAAATAATAATATATTTTTTATATTATGTGATACTTATTATGTCATTTTCTGTCTAATTTTGAATAGGAATTAGGTTTAGGAGTAAAGTGAGAAATATTTGAAACATAAAGGGTCAAAGTGAGAAAAAATAAATTTTAAGGGTCAAAGTAAAAAGGTAATCAAGAATAAAGAGGCAAAGTATAATTTACCCAACGTTTATTAGTAATAACCTAACGACTTAGAATGAATCTAAATTATGCACTAATTATGTACATGTTTTTATGGTATTTTCGTGCACATTGCTATTCTAAAAACATTAAAAAATTCAAAGGAATAGGTTACATTTGTGGCTTATTCTGTAAAAATCTTTTGTGTATTTAGATTTTGTTAGGTTATGTATACATGAATTTTTAAGAGAAATGAGAATCTCATTAGTAATTAAATTCATGTGTCAATACTAAGTGTTAGTTTCATTAATGTTGTGTTTGGTTGAGAGATTTAAAGGGAGATTTGGAAAGGAAAATGAAAATAGTAAGTGAAATATGAATAAAATATATCCACATTTCACTTAATTTTACACATCTTTTTTCTTTTTCTTTTCAAATCCCTCTTTAAATTCCTAAACTAAACACAACGTAAGAATCCTTAATGAGAAAATAATGGAATTGGAAATATTGTGGGCCTATATATATTTTTGTAATAACTCTTAAACGATTAACATCCTTAAGAATGTGATTCTTATTTACTTTCTCATTTTAATACATTCTAAACACTAAAATTATAAAATTCAGAATCATATTTTCATATCTTTCAAGAGTACTGTCATTCAAATATAGAAGGGTGGTGATTAATAGCTCTAATAATAGGGTTCTAATAAGAGCACTAGTGACACGGTAACTTAAAAAAAAACAAAAAAACAAAAAAAATAAAACAAAAGGAAAAATATCAAATCACACAGTGAGACTCACAGGTTAGAACTCTTCTAGAGCTCACAATTTAAAGATCTGAAGCATTTTTCAATATAGAATCTATTTTGTTTTATATATATGTGTATCTATTTTTATTAGTTGGGTAAATTTCAATATAGGGCAGCCTTTTAAAGCAAATTATAAATAAGTGGTAAACTTTATTGAAAATATTTTATTCACATAATTTTTCTTCACAAATTCTCTGAATGATGTGGTAAGAAAAAAAAAAGTACATTAATGACTTACACTTTTGCATTTCTCTCTTTCGTCAAAACTTTTTAGTCAATCTTATCACATCAAGAATTTGTGATAAGGGATTTTGTATGTATATAATTCTGTTGACTTAATAATTAAAAATATAAACTTTTTTATCTTATAATATAATTGATTAGTAATTTTTTCTTACAACAATGTTAGAGATTCACATTTTATATTCACGATATGACAAAAGAGATGGATCTCATATTGTTAAATGTGTAATCATTCAAAAATAAAAAATGCTAGACTCCACCTCAAAAAATTTTACTAAATGTCTTATAGGTGTGGAATCCACGCAATATGGATCCCACACTCATGTGAGACATTTCGCAAAATTTTTAATAGAATTTTCAATATTTCTAACATTATTCTTCAAAAATTAATAATTAATCCCTATCATATCATATCATTATTGGAGATTTTTGGAATTTCAAACATTTTCATTTTCCTTATTAGTTTTATTAGATCAGCCGACCAATAGAATAGATAATTGGAGGAAATCCTTGAAAACCTAAACTGTATATTGAATGGAAATAATAGTTATGAGTAATGTTAGGGATCATAAAAAAAGTGTTATGAAGATGATTATGAATGATTTTTTATTTTTAGATTATATATATAATAAAACATCACATACTAATTAAAGGATAAAAAATTTTTATGATATATTTTATGCTATTCCTTTCATAATTTCTAATATTATAAAATGGGTATAGAGAGAGAAAATCCAAACTAGAAGCATTAATGATTAAACAATGAGGCGTGCTGTTAAAAAAAGACAAAGTCAAAACTGGATTGGAGAACAGTTAGGCAGCTAAAGATTTGGCGCCTTAAAGAAACCGTAGGAAAAGGAACCGCCCCGAAAGTAGTAATAGATTGCACCTAATCTAAACAGTTTGGCCATTGGTCCCCCCATTCCATGGAGATCATGCATATATTATTGATATGGCATGCATTATGGAGATCAGGCAATAGTCCAGCTCACTTTGTAATTAAACAAATGTGATTCCAATTAATTTTTTTTATTTTTTATTTTAAGACAAATTACATTACCAGTATTTATAATTTGGGACTCGCATTATTTTGGTATTTAATTTTTTAATTATGACACATTTGATCCTACATTTTGAATCTTATTTCAAATGAGAATAATTAAAAATATTATTGCTTAATTTCAAAGACAAAATTGTCAATTTGATAAAATATAAATTAATTAAAAAAAAATAAATGTCAATTTTTTTTTTTTAATTTTTAAAATTATTTTCACTCATCAAAGACAAAATTATATAAAATTGATAAATCTTTTAAATGTTTATTTATTTTACTAAATTAATTTTTATTATGTGTTTGGATGATAATAATATAATGTGTGATTGTTAATATTTTAATGTGTAATCAATATATTTAATATATGAAATGCTTTTAGTTTTGAATTTTTTGATTATCAAAGTTGTCGCTAGGGGTGTGCGAGGTGCGGGTCGGTGCGGTTTGAGAGAAAAATAGAAACCGTATGGCGGGTGGCGGATTGATAAAAGTGTCACTAGAATTTGCCATTTTCCTTATCATGTGTCAATACTAAGTGTTAGTTTCATTAATGTTGTGTTTGGTTGAGAGATTTAAAGGGAGATTTGGAAAGGAAAATGAAAATAGTAAGTGAAATATGAATAAAATATATCCACATTTCACTTAATTTTACACATCTTTTTTCTTTTTCTTTTCAAATCCCTCTTTAAATTCCTAAACTAAACACAACGTAAGAATCCTTAATGAGAAAATAATGGAATTGGAAATATTGTGGGCCTATATATATTTTTGTAATAACTCTTAAACGATTAACATCCTTAAGAATGTGATTCTTATTTACTTTCTCATTTTAATACATTCTAAACACTAAAATTATAAAATTCAGAATCATATTTTCATATCTTTCAAGAGTACTGTCATTCAAATATAGAAGGGTGGTGATTAATAGCTCTAATAATAGGGTTCTAATAAGAGCACTAGTGACACGGTAACTTAAAAAAAAACAAAAAAACAAAAAAAATAAAACAAAAGGAAAAATATCAAATCACACAGTGAGACTCACAGGTTAGAACTCTTCTAGAGCTCACAATTTAAAGATCTGAAGCATTTTTCAATATAGAATCTATTTTGTTTTATATATATGTGTATCTATTTTTATTAGTTGGGTAAATTTCAATATAGGGCAGCCTTTTAAAGCAAATTATAAATAAGTGGTAAACTTTATTGAAAATATTTTATTCACATAATTTTTCTTCACAAATTCTCTGAATGATGTGGTAAGAAAAAAAAAGTACATTAATGACTTACACTTTTGCATTTCTCTCTTTCGTCAAAACTTTTTAGTCAATCTTATCACATCAAGAATTTGTGATAAGGGATTTTGTATGTATATAATATTGTTGACTTAATAATTAAAAATATAAACTTTTTTTATCTTATAGTATAATTGATTAGTAATTTTTCCTTACAACAATGTTAGAGATTCACATTTTATATTCACGATATGACAAAAGAGATGGAGCCCATATTATTGAATGTGTAATCATTTAAAAATAAAAAATGCTAGACTCTACCTCAAAATTTTTTACTAAATGTCTTATATAGGTGTGGAATCCACACAATATGGATCCTACACTCATGTGAGACATTTCGTAAAATTTTTAATAGAATTTTCGATATTTCTAACATTATTCTTCAAAAATTAACAATTAATCCCTATCATATCATATCATATCATATCATTATAGGAGATTTTGTGGAATTTCAAACATTTTCATTTTCCTTATTAGTTTTATTAGATCAGCCGACCAAAAGAATAGATAATTGGAGGAAATCCTTGAAAACCTAAACTGTATATTGAATGGAAATAATAGTTATGAGTAAGGTTAGGGATCATAAAAAAAAAAGAGTGTTATGAAGATGATTATGAATGATTTTTCATCTTTAGAATACATATATAATAAAACATCATATATTAATTAAATGATAAAAAAATTTTATAATATATTTTATACTATTCTTTTCATGATTCATAATATTATAAAATGGGTATAGAGAGAGAAAATCCAAACTAGAAGCATTAATGATTAAACAATGAGGCGTGCTGTTAAAAAAAGACAAAGTCAAAACTGGATTGGAGAACAGTTAGGCAGCTAAAGATTTGGCGCCTTAAAGAAACCGTAGGAAAAGGAACCGCCCCGAAAGTAGTAATAGATTGCACCTAATCTAAACAGTTTGGCAATTGGTCCCCCCATTCCATGGAGATCATGCATATATTATTGATATGGCATGTATTATGGAGATCAGGCAATAGTCCAGCTCACTTTGTAATTAAACAAATGTGATTCCAATTAATTTTATTTTATTTTATTTTAAGACAAATTACATTAACAGTATTTATAATTTAGGACTCGTATTATTTTGGTATTTAATTTTTTAATTATGACACATTTGATCTTGTATTTTGAATCTTATTTCAAATAAGAATAATTGAAAATATTATTGCTTAATTTCAAAGACAAAATTGTCAATTTGATAAAATATAAATTAATTTAAAAAAAAAATAAATGTCAATTTTTTTTAATTTTAAAATTATTTTTACTCATCAAAGACAAAATTATATAAAATTGATAAATCTTTTAAATATTTATTTATTTTACTAAATTAATTTTTATTATGTGTTTAGATGATAACCATATAATGTGTAATTGTTAATATTTTAATGTGTAATCAATATATTTAATATATGAAATGCTTTTAGTTTTGAATTTTTTGATTATCAAAGTTGTCGCTAGGGGTGTGCGTGGTGCGGGTCGGTGCGGTTTGAGAGAAAAATAGAAACCGTATGACGGGTGGCGGATTGATAAAAGTATCACTAGAATTTGTCATTTTCCTTATCAAAAATCGGCGGTTCAGTTGGTAAATAATGGTAGATTTGCCTTGGCGGTTCGGGCGGATTGGTAGTTTATAAAAAATATAATTCAAATTACAAAACTTAAATCAAAGAGTAAAAAAAAGACGAGAGATACCGTGATGTTAAGCATCTTGTGAAGTTTTCTTCTGATGCAGCAAGTGTAGCAACAACATGATAATATCAACGGCTATGTCATCAGTTCATTATAAGCATCTGTGGAAGCTACAATGATCAAATACAATACATAAAATTAAATCATTCAGGATTTACAATATATTGAAAATGTTTACTGTTGAAAAGTATTTAGATTGAAAAGTGAGCTGATGCAAGTTTGCAACATGGCCAAAAAAAAAAAAGATTAAAAAGTGAATTGGAATTCAACTTTATTTTGGATTACTGACATCTTGAATTCCTCTCGAGCAGTAATGTAATACTATATTCTAAGGTATAGAATAACAAGCAAACTTAAGTAAAAAAAAATTTTTAGAATCTTATAAAACATGATTTAATAGCAGTGCGGGTCGGTGCGGTTTGGAAGAAAAATAGAAACCGGCGGATTGATAAAAGTGTTATTCGAATTTGCTATTTTTCTTACCAAAAATCGGCGGTTCGATTGGCAAATAATAACGAATTTGCCTTGGCGGTGCGGTTTCGGCGGTATTATACACACCCCTAATTGTCGCCATATTCAACTTTAAAAAAAATAGAAACTAATTTAATAAAAATAAAAACAACCATCCATTACATGATTCTTATGCAAACACATAATAAAAATTAATCATGTAATAGGTGGCTATTTTTGTTGATGTTTTTGGATGTTTATCATGTAAAAGATTGTTATATTTATTGTTAACAGATATTTTTTGATACTTATCATGTAATGGATGGTTATTAAGCTTTTAACGTATAATCGATATATTTAATATATAAAATATTTTTAGTTTTCAATTTTTGATTTAATGGATTGATTTAATAACGATATCGAAGTTGTCACCATATTTGACTTTAAAAAAAATAGAAACTAATTTAATAAAAATAAAAACAACCATCCATTACATGATTCTCATGCAAACACATAATAAAAATTAATTTGATAAATAAATAAATGTCTAAAAGATTTATTAATTTTGTATAATTTTATCTTTAGTGGGTAGCAATAATTTTTAAAAATTCAAAAATATTTTTTTGTATATTTATTTTTTTCAAATTAGTTTATATTTTATAAAATTGATAATTTTACCCTTGAAATTAAACAATGGTGCCTTTAATTGTCTTTATTTAAAATATGATTTCAAATTTAAGGTCAAATGTGTTACAATTGAAAAGTCAAAAACTAAAATGATATAAGTCTCTAACTATAAGGACCGTTAATGTAATTCGTTATTTTTTAATACCAAAATTAGTTAATTATTTTATTTGTATCGATAGTAATGTCCAATTAATTTAATTTAAATTATGTTTAGTCCAATGAGATTGATAATCTTTGCAATGAGTGGATTCATAAGGTGGATTGGGAATTTCATGAGATTAGACATGAAAATATAAATTTATTCTTATTTTATTTAACGAGGATTTTTTAATCAATGTTACAAATTTAACTTTAATCAATTAATACCACAATAGTCGTGTATTAATAAATATAATTTTTCTTATGTTACTTAATTCTATTATATTTGTAATTTCACTAGACTTAAATCCGTTAATCAAACATGACTTAAATATTACAAATTAAGTAAAAAAAATTTAAATAAGTTTAGCATTTAAAAAAAAAAATCATATTATTGAGAAAATATCCTTACCCAAATTTTCTATTTAGAAATACTGTTTATTACTAAATTCATGTAATAAAAAATTATAAGATTTATTATAGTTAAAAATAATAATAATAATTCAGATATTTTTTAGAGTTATATAGTTAACAATTTTCATTTTTTAATACATAGCATAAAATAATAAATAAAAAACCTATAGGCCACCTTCCCTCTCCATCGTGCACCACCCATTAGTGAACAACCTTGCCACGGCTTCCAAGTTCCACCTTCCCATGACGGTGACAACCTTCCCCTGTCTGACCCCGATTGAGGACCACGCCACACCACACCCTCTCTCTCTCTCATGACTGTGACAACCTCTCTGATTGAGGACCAGTGACCCCTATCCTCTCTCTCTTTATGTGGCGAGGTGTTTCACAGCGATGTCACAAATACTGGCTTCTTTCTACACACCCAACTGTCTCTCCCTCTCTCCCTCTTATCTCTTCTTATCTTTTGTCTACTCGTTTGTTTGGCAACTCATAATATCCCCACTGTAGGACCCCAATCACTGTTTCTTTCTTTATCTCCTCGTTCCATTGCCCACCTCTTCTCCTCCTTCTCTTCCATCAACAACCCAACAAAACTAACACATACATCCATACATACTCACATAACAAGAACAAACAAATTAATAGAAATCACAAAAATTAAATAAATCACATATCAAGAAAACACAGTCCAGATCCATGTGTATATCCATAACCATATTTATATGAAACTGATGAACATCAGAAGATGCTTCACTAATCTCACATCATCCCTTTGGATCATGTGACATGAACGTATCGACTTCGAATCGAATCAAACCCTATCAATTCTTCCATGTTTTTGTATATGATTCTCTCACTCATCATCTTCATCGGAGTTTTCGGGGTTTGGGTATTCGTTCAAGTCCGGCTTCAGGGAGGCTCGGCTAGAATTTGATTCCGACGACGGCGCATGTTGGTGGTGGTGCTGGGAGCTTTCGATAGCGTCAACCCTAGCTCCGACCTCGGTTGCTTTTTTCCTTATTGAGGCGGCGGACATGTCGTGAAGCTCGTCTTCATCGACGATGTATTCCGGGAAGTTGAGCCTGGCGGAGGGGCCTCGGAGGTAGTAGACGGCGGTGTCGTAGGCACGCGCCGCCGCCACGGGGGAGGAGTAGGAGCCGAGCCAAATACGGGAGCGCTTGTTGGGTTCCCGGATCTCCGCTACCCACTTCCCCCACTTTCTCATCCTTATCCCTCTGTAGGGCTTCTCTTTCTGGTGATGTTGTTGTTCTTGTTGTTGTCTTCGCTTGCGCTTCTCTGGTGTGCTTGTAATACTACTTGTTGGGCTCGTGCTTGTGCTTGAACAACACTCGATTCCTTCCATTAGAGAGGTTTTGGTTTGTTCTTGAAGGAATAATTTAGTTGTGAAGATGATGATGATGATGGTGAAGGGAAAGAAGAAGAGGAGGAGGTTGTAACTGTCTCAGAAAACGATTCCCTTGAGCCCTTCTGTTGTATTTATGCGTGTGCATATATATATATATTAACCACATGTATGTAGATATGTATATGTATGTAAAGGAATATGAATGAGGTGCATAGACAGCACGCATTGGGTTGGGGGAGAGGAGGGTGGGGTGGGGGTGCGAGTGTCTTACTTGGCTGCTAGTCTATCGTCTGGGCACGGCCGCCACGTTGATCTTCCTTAAAAGATAAAGGATTTGCTTCTCTCCAATCTATGATCGGATCGGAGAGTGTTGTTAGGTTCGTGGTCACTTATTACAGGTTTCGTTTCGATAATCTGAATCGTTTAATGTGTAAAACTCATCGAGTATTATATGTTTATAAAAAATTACAATAATTGAATATCAATAGATATCTTATCGGGTCAGATTTTTGTCAACGGTTTATTTTTTTACCGTCTATTTCTTTTTTACAAAACTGATTTGATCATGTACCTATCGATATTCAATCAATGTGATTTTTTACAAGCCTATAATACTTGACAATGTCTACATATTTAACGGCTTAGATTATCAAAACGAGACTTATGTTGGATCTCTGTAAATTTAACAATATCCTCTAATCTAATTGCAAATTGAAGGAAAGCGAAACCCAAAGATTAAAGTCCAAAACTGGCCGACATAAACTATCGGTTTCCCCCTCTCTCCCTCTATCCCCTAATTTAATATCTTCTATATTAATAGAGTAATACTGTAAATTTACCTTCATCAATTGAGAAATTATTGAAGAATTAATTTCTACCCCATCTCACGTAAATTTTACAGTATATAAATTAATCTCTATTTTATAATTATTTATTTAGAAAATTTTGGATGAATACGTACAAATTTATCTTTATCCTATAATTACCTACTCAGAAAATTATAAATGAATGCGTTTGGATTATCAGACTTTCTCATATTAATATATAAAATAAATTTTTTTTTTATCAGACTTTCTCATATGCGACATTTGAGATCTTTAGTTATGATTTATTAAGATTTTAGTTACGACTTATTTATATATATTATAGCATTAGTTATGATATTATTTTATAGGCAAATTACACTAACAATCTTTATAGTTGGAGTCTTATGTTATTTTAGTCTCTAACTTTTCAATTGTGACACATTTAATCTTGAATTTTAAATATTGTTTTAAATAAGGACAATTGAAGATATCATTGCTCAATTTTAAGTTAGTTATGATTTATTAAGATTTTAGTTACGACTTATTTATATATATTACAGCATTAGTTATGATATTATTTTATAGGCAAATTACACTAACAATCTTTATAGTTGGAGTCTTATGTTATTTTAGTCTCTAACTTTTCAATTGTGACACATTTGATCTTGAATTTTAAATATTGTTTTAAATAAGGACAATTGAAGATATCATTGCTCAATTTAACGGTAAAGTCGTCAATTTAATAAAATATAAACTAATTTGATAAAAATAAATATCAAAAAAATATTTTTAAAATTTAAAAAAATATTTTTACTCAGTAAAGATAAAATTATATAAAATTGATAAATTTTTTAGACATTTATTTATTTATTTTTTACTAAATTAATTTTTATTATTTGTTTGGATTATGATTATGTAATGGGTGATTGCTTTTATTTTCATTAAATTAGTTTTTATTTTTTCAAAAGTCAAATATGGCGATAACTTTGATATTATTATTAAACCAACCCATTAAATCAAAAAATCTAAAACTAAAAACATTTTATATATCAAATATATTGATTACACATTAAGAGTCTAACAACTACCCATTACATGATCATCATCATATAATGTTTTATTACTAAATTAATCTTTTATAGGTGTTAGTCTTTTTATTTTATTTTATATATATAATAGAATAGTTTTGGTATTATAATAAAATAGTATTTATGGTTTCTTTTCACATCCAATCTTTTTATTTTTTGAGAGATTCAAAATAAGAATTATGAAATAAGTGTATTTCTCTCTGTTTCTTTTCATTTTACTCAATTTCTCTCATCCTTGCTTAATCCAAACAAGTGATATGGACCATAAAAGATACATTTGTTTATTTTTTTCCTCCAATTACTCAATCAAAACGAGCTGGTAGATTCAACCGCTTTAAGAGCATTTCCAACACACTAAGGCTATGTTTGTTTGGGTGGACATAAACTTGGGATTGGACTAATAGTCCAATAAAATTATTAATCCGATATTTGGTTAGACAATTGAAGTACGGGCTAATTATTTTAAACTTGATTATTAGTTAAGATAAGATACATAATCCAACGAATTCGTAGTCCTAGGACTACTAGTCATGGGAATGCTAATTCAATCCGCCCAAACAAACATGGCCTAAGTGCATAATGCATGTTAGTCAAAATGCTTAATATAACTTCTTCTTTTTTCTTTTTTTTTTTCAAACTTTAATACACTAACTATATGATTAAACATTTACTTAATTTACATTTACTAGCTATATATATAGCTAGCTTTCAAAGATTATGCAAAATTTATTTGACCGTTATGATCATTTTCCTTTATTTTTGTTTAATATAGCATTTCATAAAGTGATTAATATTTGAATGAATAGCTAATTAAAAAATATGATTGGACAGAAAATATTAAAAAGTGAATATGTAAAATAAATAAATATATATATATATATATTATATTCGTAAAATACCTAATAAATGCTATAACTATTTAAACGTTATAATTATCAGATATAATTACAAACTGTATGTATGCCGACCTCTAGTGAATCTATATTTCTCTTAGCTTGGCCGAAAGAGTGATGTATGCTTATACATACAGCAAGATTCTTTCAATTATTAATTAAATTCGTATATTTTGTTATTTTTATTATTAATTATTAGAATAGTGGAATTGCTCCTTCTAAAAGGTTAAATAGTGATTTAATTTTATAGTTAAAAATTAAAAATTTGCCAATTCATTAATGAGAAAAGTAATGTAATATTTGTTAATAGTTGATGATAATAGCGTAATTAATCTTTTATATATTGGAAAGTGATTTATAAATTGAAATATTAAATAAAAAAATTTATGATTATTGTTTTGGTGATACTTTTAAAAATATCTTATCTTTATAAAAAAAATTAATTTGAATGAGTGGATATAAATTTATTATTTTATAATTAATTATTTATAAATCATTGGTATTTTATATTCCACGCAAGGGTTTGTGGAGAGTCTGCTGCGGCTGATGTTTGGGTGTTTTTCTTTTTTTTGTTTGGGTGTTGTTCGGCTTCTATTACGGCAGCACACTTCAGATATATCCTTTGGCGTGTAGTAATTATTTCACTCTACCGACCATCAAAGTTATATTTAACCCAATTATTAATAGTTTGATATTTTGAATAGTATATTGTACATAATTTTATGTTGGAAAAATTAAAAAAAAACAAAAACAAAAACAAAAAAATTCTAAGGTTTGAACTTTATAATAAAATAAATTTTGAATTTTATAATTAAAATTTTAATATTTTGATTTATTTTCAACCTAAATATCTTACTATTTTTGTTAAGTAAAATTATTGAAAAATGTATATTTCAATTATTAAACTCAATAAAAACTTGTATTGTAGACATTTTCTGTATGCCTACATTGAGTTTAATGATTCAAATATATATATATATATATATTTTACAGTTTTACTTAACAAAAAATAGGTGGAAAGTTTCGATTGAAAACAAATTAAAGTATTATGATTTAAATTGATAAAATTAAAAATTAAAAATTTATTTTGTTACAATGCTCAAACCTTGACTCTTTTTTTTTTTTGTGTGTGTGTGTGCGTAATTTTCTTTTTATTACATTATTTTATTTTTAGACATTAGTTAATGAGACTCATTAATAAATACACAAAAAATAAAAATTTATTCTTACTTTCTTGTAATACCTTTTCAATTTTTTTTTTCTTCTTGAGTTGGTGAGACTTTAAATCAATTTTTTTAAGCTAAGCTTTTGTTTGTCAAACCGAATTCTAATTTAATTAATTTTTTAAAAAAAAATTAGAAAGAAAGAAAGGTGAGGAGTTGGATAATATTTATTTGGTTTGGCTAGGGGGATGAAAACGATAAGGATGATGGTGAGTGCGGCTGTTTGAGAATTCCAAGGGAAATTGAGGAAGAAATAGATTGGAAAATTTGATGTGAGAAATGGAAAGGGAAAAATAAAAATAAAAAAAATAAAAAAGAATTGATAAGATTTAAATTTTTAGTTGTGTTTGATTGAGTTAGGAAATGAAAAAAATAAAAGAATATAAGCAAGATTAAAAGACAAAAAATAAGATTGTATTTCTCTCTTACTTTCTTTTCTCACGTGCTTTTTATTATAACTAAATAAAAAGTAAAATTGTATTTTTCTTTTCCTTTTTATTCAACCACACAGTGTAGTACGGTTCTATTGGGAAAGTTATTAATGGTTTCATATGAATGTTTTATGTGACATAAATCGCTCAAACAAAACGCCAATATGGTGGACCCACTCTTCTTAGATTCATTAAAATTTTGATCAAATATATATATATATTGATTTGATTAAAACTTGTTTAAAAGTTATTGAAAATGTAAGTAAGCTAAATTTAAATACAAACTTAATAAAATTTTGTTTGGTTGTGACTTGAAAACCAAATTATCAGCTATTAAAAGCCCATTTTGCTATTAAAAAATCAAGTTTATTAGGCAATTTTTTTTTTTAATTTTTTTTTTCAAAATGTTCACTTTAACCATCTAAAAAACAGTTAGAAAAGTAAAAAATGTGTCGCACAAATTAATTTTTTAAAAGCTAATTTTTACATAATAAATTGGCATTTTAGCTAACTCTAACACTTCCGGGTTATATTTGGATAATAAATTTTAATAAAAATTTAAAAAAAAATAATAATAAATTTTTTTTATATTTAATTCACATTTATTCTTTACCTTTTTTTTTTTTTTTTTTTTTTTTTTTAAATTCATACTCAAATTTATGTCCCAACGCAGCCTAGTGGAAACCTTTTAAAAAAAACTATTCTGCGTGTGTGAGTGTGAGAGATATTATAGGGGTAGGTCGGTGATGGACGAAAGAGTATGAGAAGTGGGATTGACTT